AAAGATTAAGTAGTCCGTAAACCCACTCTCTACCCTAACCTTATTAGTATAGCGTCAAACACTGTTTAAATAACAAAGAGTAAACGAAATGTCAAAATAAATTGCGAGCCATAGAGTAGTCTAAAAACATGGATTCCCATCTAAATCAATACTGTTACCGTTCAAAAATTGTGGGCGTACTAGTAATAAATAATCGCTGTCACCAGAGAGCAATCGTGCGATGAATGTGTTTTCAAAGGTGTACTGATATAAGCAACAAAATAATAATATTGACCATCCCACTAGAAGGGGCACTAATATGATAATCCCGTCAGCCTCGAACGTGGTCGTGCTTGGAAGACGAGTTCAACTGAAGCCGTCAAAAACTCCATCTTAAAGTGATGTGCAAGAGATGGTTCCTAGCATTCCATAACGTGTTAAGTATCACCCAAAGCTTTCACTGATACTAAAAGAACTGGTAACGCCTTAGTAGCACATGAAAACAAAACAGTAAATAGCCACTTAAGTGACTTGGATTTGCCAGTCCTTGTTAAAAAAAGACAGAATGGATTCAGAAGGAAATCTCGCCAGATGCAGATTACTGAAACTTGCCTTCAGAACGCGATGCCAGTACAATCTTTTGTTAGGATATTGACTCCATAACGGGCATAGGAACAACCGTCTTCCTCCACCTGTGACCTAAATGAATTTTTTTTAAAGAAACAACTGAATACAATGAACTCGAGCAGTAAAAACATGGCGAACACCCACGACCAGGCAAAGCAGTTAAAAACACAGTCTAGTAAATGCCGTGTAAAGAATCACACACAATGTTTCATTGAGACGCATCATGAACCAAACCAGCACTTTGCAGCAACGCCGAACGGCTGAATAGATCTGCGGTCGCGACGCGGCTCATCTCAGCAGAGCATGGGAAACCGATCGGCGGCCTAGGCCGTGTGCAGGAGTCCTTGACCGGTGAGATTCTTCCCCCAGCCGGAGACGAATCTCCCATCACCGTGGACGCCTCCTCAAGGTTGAGTATCTATTCCCGGCCGGCATGCAGCAAGAGATCGATTGAAGGGTTGCGCCATAGGACCCTTGATCGCAAACGGCCGGTGCCATCCACCTTCTGCGTATCTGCCAACGGGGATAAAACTCTTCAGTCGAGAATTCCTGTCGTATGCTATCCTTCTCACAACGGAACAACTACGACTGTAATCAACAGTTTGTTCAGCAAGGACAAAAGGGCCGCATTTCTACCAGCTTGTGATGGCAGGTGGAGCATTCAGTTCGACACTCCCTAATGATTAGTCTTCACAGTTCTATGACATCGCCATGGCAGCCTGTGATCTTGATGAATGACTTGTGTAGGTTGAGATGGTGGTTTAGACGGGTACTTTCTCATATGTCTTTAGACCTTCTAGACCCAAAGAAGTTGATAAGGGCGAAGCGACAGAGGGTACATACAGCGCAAGTCGGTCAAAGGCAG